CAGTGTGGGGTGATTGGGATGGGTGCGTAGGGGAAGGGGGTGGGTACGCAGGGAGCTGTGTGGCTTGAGAGATGTTTGGGGCTGGGAATCACTTGTCCTGTTTTCCTAAACAGCTGGCTGCTGCAGTGTTATTTCCCCTCCTCTCCTTCTCCTGCTGAATCTCCTCCTTCCCGTGAGTTGTCTGGGACTGAGCAGTGCAGCTGGGCTGTGCTACAGATCCCTTTCTTCCCCAGCCTTGCGCTGTAGTGATGCTCTCTCGTGATGGAGAATCCTTTGCAAGGTCACTGCAGGAGGGGGTAGAATGTCACTTAAGCTCCTCCGAGCTGTTGTGGACAGAGATTTCTATCAGTCTTTGCCCCAATTTGCCCTGGGCCCCAGGCACCTTATGTCAGAAGCCTAAAAGCACCCTGCAGCTCACACTCTGAGGTGGTAGAGTTATGTGGGGCCTGCTGTGCTGATGGGCAGCTTTGGCATGAAGGCTGCAGTCCTCTGTTTGTGCTCGGGGCTAGCAGGATCCTGACTGTACTAGCTGTGGTTTTCAATTCCTGATCTTGTGGTTGTCCAGCATAGGTACATTCTGAGGTGTTAGTTGCTCTTCTAGAGGAGACAGAACTTCTGCAGTATTTCAGGCTTCATCCTGCTCAGGGTTAGTAAAACCTTCAAATGGTGGTGGTAAAAGGGCTTTCTTTAAAGGAGGCTTCCTGATTTCTCATTGGGAGCTGGTGTTTGATACAAGTACAGTGTACTGTACAAAGTGTGCTCTCTCCCCTGGAGATACAGAATTATGTGGCTTTAGCCAGGAGTGAATAGTCACTGCCTTTTAGAAGCTGTTGCTAAGGTATCTCTTTGCTGAGGAAGGGTGATTTTCATAGGTCTTGGGGGTGATTAGTGGGGGGAATTACAAAGATATATAATGAGTTGTGATGGGGGTGTATATCCTTCACACAAAGGCTCATTAAAGCAGGGATAGAAAGAGAAGGTAGTGGCAGGCGGGGGGAAGGGACGAGGGCTCGGAGAGGAAACTGATGCTCTTTCTTCGTCTCCTTCCATCCAGGAAGGAAATGGTTAGGAAGTTTGCAGACTAGGAAGCTAGGAGAAGCAGGGCAACTGACCATTTTGCTTACAGAGAGACTAGATTTCTTACAAAGTACTCCGTAAGTTAAGGATGTTTTTTCCAAGGGGAAGGATGTCATTCTTTGCTGTTTTGCTCTTTTTTTGAACCAGGTTGAAAAAAGCTTGGGTCCTAACTCTCTTCATGGGGGTAGGGTGAAAGAACGGTATAATTAGAGGTGCCAGTTAGACGATGCAGTCCTCTGTTCCTTGCGCCTTCCCTCCCCCCCCGCCCCCTTTCTAGTATCTGTAACTATGGCCTGAGTCTCACTCATGCAGAGCTATTTTAGGTGTATACTGAGCAACATTTTAAAATTATTTAAAAACACACAGCCATACAAACTTAACTTGGCCCCCATAGAGATTGCAATAGGAATTGGGAATATAACAGTTCTTTACCTCGCCCTCCTCCACCCCCAACAAATCTGCCACTTTCTCTGTGTTCAACACAACTCCAAATCAGCACTCCTGTTCATACACTCCACCAGACCCTCACTGTGCTCTGTATAATACCACTGATCTGGGGAGAACTTGCCACTGGTTGAGAGAGGCTAAGGGAGGCATAAGAGTGTGTGATCATCTTCTTTCTTATGGCTTGGGTAGGTAGCAACGATTATACATTTATATCTAGATTTAATAGCCAGCATGTTGCTCCAACAATGAGTTGGTGAATGTCCTTCAGGCCCCCAGTGAAAGAACGAAGGAGACATTCAGATATGATGTGCTCCATCGTTTGTGCCTGGTGACCACAGTCGCATACAGGTGTTTGCCTCATTTTCCATTTAAACAGGGTTTATTCACATATCCCATGAGATGTCCTGATCGATACGAAATGCACCAGTCTTTCTGACATAAGTCAAAATCCAGTGTTTCCTTGTCAGGATCAATGACGAGCTGTTTGTTTTGAGTGGATTTCATGGGACTGTGGGACCACAGGATCATTATAAACAAAATATTGAGTAGCAGGTTGGCATCTACAGGAGAAGCTCAGGCATGGGTGTTGGTCTAGGGATTTAACATCTTCCTGAATGATTTAGTGGCAGGAGTAAAGGATTGTTCATGAAAAATTCAGGTGATATTAAATTAAGAAGAGGTACAAATGACTATGGGGATCTAGAGAGAATAAAACGGAGGGCAGATTTAACTTGCATCAGTGTAGCTAGTACATTGGGGAAAATGATCTAAAGTAGCAGTTCAGTAGAAAAATGAACATTTGGGAAGCAATAACACAGAGAACTATAGAGTGAGAATGGATAGAAAATTAGATACGGGTCTGGTGTTTTTGCTTTCACGTCATATTGCATTGTGATTTATGAGCTACTATTCATGCCATGGAGCTGGGAGGTGATACTTTTTCTCCTTGTCCTTTTGACTAAGATCAAGTGTAGTGAGTTGAATGTTTGATATGTTCTCTGTTAGGGTACAATTGCAGATAGGCACTGTGTAGGTTAGTAGGTCTTTTTATTTTCTAATATCATCCTTTGTCTCTGGTGTGACTGCTCCTGGGATATTGCATTCAATTCTGGGTAATTCCATCCCAGAATAGAGATATGAGGGTCTGGAAAAAATGTAAACTTTTTGGAAGAAAATATTTTGTTCCCCCCCCATGGCCTGGTGTGGAAAAATTGGAAATTTTGGGAAAAATTGAAAAGAAAGAGTTACATGAAACATGTTTTCAAAATGAACAGTGAAAGAATTTTTAGAGTAATGTTTAAAATAATATTGTTACTGATGCCCTTCAGTCCTTCAAAATGCTTTCTAATAACAAATATTTAAAAAAATATGAGTTTCTTCTGCATGATAATGTCAGGTCAGGTCTATTTACATACTATTTCTGAGCCCAGAGGCTATAACCTTCCTTTTTGTTTACAACAATATTGATGCATCCTATTTTCAACATTTTTTTTCATATTTGCTAAAAGGCAAAAAAATACATCTAAGTACTT